TCATAACGGAGGAGAGCATAACTTAGTTGCTGATTGAATAAGAAAATGCAGCAGAATTTGGTAAGTTGAGGGAGGGCATAGCCCAGAGGACATTTCTGAAGGAAAAGCATGAGCCCTGGAGGAGGAAAGAGAGGAAGCATAAACAAGTAGAGAGGGGCTGAGAGGAAAGTTCTTTGAATTAAGAGATGAGGATCCTAGACATGATCAGAGGCAAATTTGTACATCTTACGTTAAGGGCTCACAACATTTTTTTTTTTTTTTTGCTAGGAAAGAGTCACCTGAGGTAACATTTGTTGCCAATCTTCTTCACTTTTTTTTTTCCTCCCCAAAATCCCAGCACATAGTTGTATATTCTAGTTGTAAGTCCTTCTAGTTCTTCTATGTGAGCTGCCACCACAGCATGGCTACTGACAGACAAGTGGTGTGGTTCCATACCCGGGAACTGAACCCAGGCTGCCAGAACAGAGCATGCTGAGCTTTAACTACTAGGCCATCAGGGCTGGCTTGGGACTCACAACACTTGAGGAGAAGGGAACCCATAATGCTTTATTGATCTTACCACTTCTGGAGATCAATTCCTCTCACATTCCAATGGGACAGACCCTGGCTGTGACTTGCAGGGACCGCTGGTCCTGGACTGACCTTTGAACTGATTTCCAAGTTCTACTAAGTGGCCACAGTACCCAACTTGGAGGTCTCAAGCCTGAAGATTTTACCTGAGTCTTGACTGGCAGCTTCACGGAGGAAAGAGTTATTACTACAGAAAATTGGAAGCCATGAATTTTCCTGTCTTTGTTTTTGTTTTACTGTGGTTCTTGTTGGATTGTTTGCTTTATTTGAGCTTTTGAACTCTAAGAGTGATATGCAATAATGACATCCACTGAGCCCCAATGAGACCCAGCTTCCAAGTTTATACCAAGGAAGTCAGTCTGTAGTTAGAGAGTGATATCAGAAAACAGTATTTAATTAAATTGATCAATTACAACGAGCACAGGCTTATTTAATAAATATTAAAAGACTGACTCAATGAATGAGTTTATGATATGACTCTGGAACTAGCAAAATTATAAAAACACAATTCCCCAATGAAGAAGTAATAAATAGGACTCATTACTAGGAAAATGAAATGTTACCTCTCTCAGAGGATTTGGATTTTTCAGTGGCATTTTTTTAGCATCTATGGCCCTATTAAACCCTGTTATTTTCTTCCTAATTTGTGCCATTTAGAAATGATTTTCATTTAACTTTCCCACGGCTCATTTCTTTCCTTCAGAACATTTCCATATGATTCCCTGATAAAGTCCATGCTTTAACACATTTCCATTATAAAACTATAATAAGCACCAAGTAAATAGCAATATGAAATAGCCAGAATGTAAAGGACTGACAGGAGAAGAAATTGGACATCTGGGTAGTTAATTTTTATTCTTGAATGCTACTGCCTTTTCGTCTCTCGTGGGTGTCTTTGATCTTCTAGGTAAGATTCCTTGCCTGATGGACAAGGACTCTAAAGAGACAATTCTCACATTCTTAAAGGACAGTCTTTCTTTCTCATAACAAAATCATCAGCCCTCACATTTTGATGACATAGTGATTGTTATTCTTCACCAAAGCCTCATAATGGAAAGAAAAGGTTTTCATTTTTGTTTCTTCTTATTGTCCTTTGGGCTTTGTAAAATATCCCTTACATGTTCCACTTAGTAGAGCTGTTTTTGCTAGAGAATTAAGTACAGGCCATTTAGCGACCTGAGCTCCCTCAAAAATTAGTTTCAATTCAACAAATACTTATTGAGCACCCCCCCCCCCCCATCCCCCATCAGGTCTTGTGAAATAAAGACATCATGGAAACTTAGTCCCTGCCTGCCTAAGACTCAAGTTGTTTTTCAAGTAGTCACATGAACAAATACTGATAGTCCGGGTCTGGCTTTGGTTAGGACCAGAAGCACATTTAGGTGTGGAGAGTGCAAATTGTGTTTCTGTGAGCATATTGCCTCAGTATTATTTAAGGTACAAAGTACAATCTTGTGTCACTTAATGACAGGGTGTGTTCTAAGAAATATGTTGTTAGACGATTTTGTTGTGTGACCGTCATAGATTGTGCTTACATAAACCTCAATGGTATAGTCTACCACACACCTAGGCTATATGTTGCTAATCTTATGGGACCATTGTCATATATGTAGTCTGTCATTGAGTGAAATGTTGTAATGTGATGTGTGACTGTAGACATACGGTCATTAAGACAAGGTGAGAAAAATACCTAAAGTAGTATGAGAGAACAGGAGACATGTGGAGGAGTCAAGTTGATGATTTTATCGAATGTGTTTGCTCCCGCAGCAGCCCACAGTGTAGTGCTAACCACTACCACTGTCTCAGCTCCGTACATGTTCACCCTGACATTATAATCAAGCTACAAGTCTGCTTAAAACTGAGACTGTCACTGAGTACCAAAGACATGCCGACTAGAGTCATGGGAAAAATCTTGTGGAAGTGGTGGTGTTTACTTCGACTTTTGAGGAAGAGTAGGGATTTGTCAGCTATAAGTGGCGATATAAGCAATATTAAAATGGAAGACACAGGGCCAGCCCAGTGGCACGGTGGTTAAGTGCACTTGTTCTGCTTTGGCGCCCTGGGATTGGCCTGTTTGGATCCCGGGTATGGACATGGCACAGCTTGGCACACCATGCTGTGGCAGGCATCCCACATATAAAGTAGAGGAAGATGGGCACAGATGTTAGCTCAGAGCCAGTCTTCCTCAGCAAAAAGAGGAGGATTGGCAGTAGTTAGCTCAGGGCTAATCTTCTCCCCGCCACGAAAAAAAGGCAGACACATATGGGGAAAAAAATCAAGTAAATCCATGTGTCTGGAGAATCTTCTTTAAAAGGTGCTGCTTTTTACATCGTTAGTCAAGAAGGTGGGTTAATGTCTTCCTACATGGACCTGCTCCCTGTCTTCCAATAGCTTGTCATTGAGGTTAGCTACTCTGCTACAGGTGTGGATCTCTGGAGCCATGAAGAGTAAAAATAGTAAACCAATATATGACCAGCGGTTCAAATGTGTCTCAGCAGTACATACAACTAAGCAGTTTTTCATTTTCCATCTGAGCTTTATATGGGAGGGAGGGTGGATATGTAAGCTCTGCTTAGTAGCAACAGTTTTAGAAAAATCTGTCCATCTCAGAGACGAGATCCCATCCATCCACTCTCAGATTCATGCATGAGGTGTGGGAAAAATTACTTTTTTAATTAATTTTTTGTCCACGTCCTGTTAGTGCAAAGTGCTCTGACAGACTTTCTTGTATCTCATATGAAAGGCAAAAACCTTTCTTTAAATTGTCTAATACATATTAAAGAGTTTATAGAACAAAACCATAAATTCAATGAAAGCTTCATTTCCATGGTGCCATTGGGTCAGCTACACCTGCAGCTGTCATCAGCTCAGTTTCCTGGTGTCTGTTCTGTTAGGGTCATGTCTTTTCATTTTTATAGATTTTTCTCTTACCTCTACTCTCCTATAAGTTTAAGACTTTTCTCCCTTACAAGTTATTACCTCCCTTATTCTAATGTAGGCCCTGCTTCTGACCCTTTCATTCCATCTTGTCAGCATTCACAGCATGAAATGTGATTCTTTTATTACTTAATTCCTTACTTTCCTCACACCCATTTCCACTTCTATTTTCCCATCTCCTTTCATTTTGCCCTCACATATTTTTCACTTTGTGGTTTCCCTTATTCGTGTGCACTCTGTGTGAGAGAGCCAAATAGAACCCCATAGTTAAAAGTAGTTTCCGACATTATTTGCAATTCCTAAGATGTAGTCTCACAAATAACCTTTTCTCATCTGATTTCCATCTAACATGCTGACAGTGCTCCAATCTTGTTTTCTGATTATCCCATTACATCGTGCTTTCCCTTGCATTTAGCGGGGACTTGCAAGTAATGGTTCTGTTTGGATAGCACTGCCTAGTCATCATGTACAATTTTATGGAATTAGAAAGGCAAGGGGAGGAAAGGACTTAAATTCTTATTTAAAAGGAAAAACATTAATTAACTGTTTTGGCAATAGGTTGAAGAACTCTTCATCAGCATACTATACTAGAGCCATCTTTGTGATCTGGAGTAACATACCACACAATAGAACAGTTTTTTCTTACCAGGGAAGAGTGCTATGCTCCTTAGCGATGAGTCAGGCATTTTAAACTCAGCCTCAAAGAGGCAGACAAACTCAGTTCACTATACATTGGAATACGCTTTCAGGAAAATATAATCACAAACAAATGCATAGGAAGTAACCAAATAATTCATTTACTGTATTCATTGTTTTTACCATAAAACTGTGAATATTCACACTCAGTAATCATGCACAGCCTCTGACAGTTTAGCAGTGTTTGTCTTGTGTATGTGTGTGTGTGTGTGTTTTAGCTGTGCTCTGAAAGCATCCTACAAATAGCTAAATTCATATGAAGCCACAATGCCCAGGAGGCTAAATGATTGCCTGTTAGCATTGATCATTTAGGAGCATAAAAAGAAATTTCCGGTGCAAATTGTACCACTTTTCTTATGCATTCTACGAACCTCTTATATCCAAGAGTAAATTTTCCTTACATATATTTGTTTCAATTGATATCTTAAAGTACATCTGAGAATACAATATACAATATAATTGAGAGCTGGACCATCTAATAGATGCTGTGTGAGCTCTTTGAGGAAATGAAATGATAATGGAATTCCTATTCTTGGCGGTAGGAAATGACTGTCCTTTGTTCCTTCTGTGAAGTCATATCATCATATTTTAGTTGATTTCCCCTGTATGTTTCTTTAGGCAAGTCAGTAATTTCAGAGAAGCCAAATATATCTTACTTTTTGGGAATGTAATTTGGCTCTTTGGGCCAGAGTGTTGTTTTCAGGTTATGTTCAGCAGGCATTACTAAAAGATACGCTATCTTTCTATGACTTGGATAGTTCCACATAATTTTTTTCTTCCTTTCCTGTTCTTGACAGGTGCATGAGGCAGTCCCATGTTACAGTGAGTGCAATCAGTATTCCTGGGTTGTAGAACACTGGTCTCCGTGCAAAATCCACAACGAGCTGAAGTCCCTGCCCTGTGGAGAAGGAACGCAATCTAGGAAAATCAGGTGTGTGGAAATGGAGACGTTTGGGATGGGGCAGTGGAATTGATGTATTTTAACAGTTACACCCTGATTTTCAAACCGTATACTCTGGCTTTTGTTCATCTTTAAGTACCCATGGAAGCTTATGTGCCCTGAGCTGCCATGTGTATAGTGGGATTCTCTCTGCAATGCAGCCACAATCCTTACTGTTTCCTGCAGATGACTTCAGTGGGAAAGCCAACTGCATGGAGCAGGTTGGCATCCCTCTACTGATTCATGGCCATCACTGTTGACAAAGTAGGAGATTTTGAGTGTTGACATGTCTGTTTTTTGCTCTACGGTTAGTATAGTTAATGGACGTTATCTTAATTTTGGATGTCAATACATTAAAAAGGCCAATTTAAACCCCCACTATTAGCCTTGGAAACTATAGGATGAGAATACCTATGAACAGTAGCAACATATTTAAATATAAAAAGAGAACATCTCAAAGATTTTAGTGAATGCTGGGTTATCTACTGAAGGAGCTTGTTTAAAATTTTTGTTTTGTAAATATAGCAGTGGTAACCAAAGGAACACTAGGCCTGAGTTCTTCAAAATGGTCTATTTGGAAGTGATTTTGGAAGAAAGAAAAAGAATTTCCTTAACCAGAGGAAAATGGCAATAAACGTTAGACATGGAACAGGCAGAAGCTGAAATATTAATGATAAACAATGATTAGCATGTAAAATAAAGAAGAGAACATAGTAGTCAACTATTCAATTGCATGAGTGTAGTGTAACATTTTGCCAGGTTTAGGAAGCTCTGTTTCAAATGGACAAACAGTGCCCAAGTCAGATAACTCCCTATTGAGTTAACTGTTAGATTGAAGTCAGTTACCAAGGCAGAGCCTACTTATGTGTGTTGATCATTATTCACCATCAGTGAACTTACTTTATTCAGTAATTCAGTATATACCCACCACGTCTAAGACTTAGTTCCAATGTGCAAAATCACTGGAAGGCATATTGGAAGAAATAGCTGTTGGCAAAATTATGGAGATGCTCCTCATCACCAACCCAAGCAAGTGACTAGTAGACAAATTGTCTTTCTTTCTTTCTGTTCTTTGTCCTTTCTCTTGGGGACTGGTGTGCTCAGGCTGTCACAAACTTCGGGCTTCTACCTCTTTCCCTTCAAAATCTGTGTCTCCTGTGTCTTATTCTCTCATGGCTTTGAAAAATGACAGACCAATCTAGTTTATCAAGTAACATGTAAATGAGAAGTGGCTTCTTTCATTCTCATCCCAGCCAGGCCTCTTAGCAGTATTAAAGCAAAATCTCAGGAGAGAAAGGAAAGCTCTAAGAGAATAAACTACTACTGACAGAATTGTCGCAGTTTGATTGAGGAAAAACACACTTGAACCAAAGGGCCTTTAAGTCTTACTTCTCAGCTCAAACCTACAGAGCCTGATATAATAAAAATAGCACAACTACCAAATTTCACTCTGTTATGAGCTGAACTGTGCCCCCCCCCCCCCAATTTATGTGTTGAAGTCCTAACCCAAAATGTGGCTGTATTTGGAGACAGGGTCTTTACAGAGATACTTAATGTTAAATGAGGTCACTGGGGTGGACCCTAATTCCATCTGAGTGGTATCCTTATAAAAACAGGCGATTAGGACATAGACACACATAGAGGAAAAGACCATGTGAAGACACAGGGAGAAGACAACCATCTACAAGCCAAGTAAACAGACCTCAGAAGAAAACAATTCTGCCAATACTTTGCTCTAAGACTTATAGCCTCTAGAATTGTGAGAAAATCAATTTCTGTTGTTTAAGCCACACAGTTTGTGCCATTTTGTTATGGAATCCCTAGGAAACTAATACATTCTCATTGTGTTACATACTTTATGTGTATGATCACATTTAAATATGTGAAGCAGATTTTCCAAGCATTTTGCATTCCAAATTATTGTTGACCTTAATAGGATGCTGTTAGAATGAGTGAAAGAGTTCATCTTTTCTCTTTCTTAAAATCTCCAAATTGTAGGACATCTTCATGATTCATCTGTTACTACAATCATTTATTAATTCAAAAAATATTATGAATATTTATCTTCTCAGGCACTATTCTAGGAACTGGGGATAAAAAAATGAAAAAAAGTTTCTGTCTTCAAAGAACTTACAAAATAGATATGTAAATTAATATATAATGTAATGTCTTTGCTATGAAATAACAAGAAGAAAAATAAAATTGGGATGGAGTGATGGATGATACTGTTCTGGAGCGATAGGTCACCAAAATATTTGAGGAGAGACTTCAATGAATGTAAAGATCTATCGAAAGAGAATTCAAGGGGGAGGGAATGTCCAAAGCAGGAACCTTCTTGGCTTGTTATAACGAGATGCCCTGTATAGATGGTGCCAGTACTCAAATCATATCGTCTTCTACAACAAAGTGAAAGGATATTATTCTGACTGCAACATGAAGCTATGAAATGCTTGAGACAGAGGGAATGAGATGCTCTTATTTAGATTTGAAAAGGACCTTGCTGGATGTAGAGAAGGTATTATAGTATTTGGCATATAAGTAGGAGCAGGGATGAGGGTTTGAAGGCCATTGCAGAATTCCAGGTGAGAGAGGTTGACGGTCACATTGGGTTTAGGAATAGTGAAGATGGTGAGAAGGTCACATTTGGAATATATTTGGAAGGTAAAGACTACAGGATTTGCTTATGAAGTAATTATAGAATGTGGAAGAAAGAGAAGCATCAAAGATGACTGCTAGGTTTTATGACCTGAGAAATCATAGGAATGATGGTGGCATTTGTGGAGAAGAAGAAGATCAGAAGCAGGTTTGAGAGAGAAAATCAAAAGTCAGCTTTTGAACACATTAAATTTGAGAAAATATTAGGCTTCTAACTGAGATATTATAATCTTGATTTCAGAGAGAGAAGGGGAGCTATAAAGCTGGGCATTGGCAGCTTATTAACTTGATATTTATTAATAAGAAAAGATGTAAGAAACTGAGCCCTGGGGAACTCCAGTGTTCACAGATTTGAGCAAAGAGAAAGAAAGCTACAAATGAGACTGAGAATGAGCCAGTAGAATAGGAGGAAAACCAAGACAATGGGAAGATAAACAAGAGAGTTTTCAAGAAAGAAATAATAATCAATTATTTCAAATGTTTCAATTGTTTCAAATGGTTCTGGGAGGCTACTAAGATGAGAATTGACCATTGAATTTGGTAATGGAGAATCTGTTGAGAATGGTGACAAGAGATTTCTCTGTATGGTAATAAAAGTGTGATTAAAATAAGTTCGAGAAGTAATAATAGAAGGAGAGGAGGCAAGGAAGTGGAGATAGTGTAAGGGGAAAGAACTATTCCTCTACCCTCTAGGTCCTTCTGGCTGGTCTGAGAGTTAAATTGACATGAGACAGAATAAAAGGAGAAAGTCAAACAAAATTTCATAACATGCATACAGGGGAGAAACCCAGGAAATCTGAGTAACTTGCCAAAATGGCTGAAGCCATCACCTTAAACACCATCTTCAGCTAAAGAAAAAGGAGGATGTTGGGAGTAGTGATTTGGGACTTCAAAGGGGAAGGAGGCATTTTACATGGAGATGGAAAAGCAAATGTTTGATAAACCCATGTTTGCTGGGCGATCTACAGACAGTGTGACCTGAGAGAGAGAACTTTAATGAAAATGGGCTTGGCAAGGATCCTCCCAGTCTACCGTACCCAGAGTTATCTTTGTGGTGGTAGGTCTTGGAACAGACCTTTTATCTTGAATTCTTTAGGCGGTTAGGGCAAAGGTCAAAGTTTCTTTCAGAGTCTTTTGTCCTTAAAAATAAGCCAAAGAGACAGATTTTGGGGTGGCCTATTCTGATCCCCCACAATAGCAAATATAGACATGCTTTATTTAGAGCAGTTTTGCAATTAATTTAAGTAGAAATGAGGTGATGACAGAAGGGAGAAGTGGCAGGGAAACTGATAATGCAGGATATGCAGGGCATACCTCAGGGGCATTTTCACTTGAACATTCCTGAAATTTCAGTCTTTTTAAGTCTTTACTCTTGGGCTTGTCAGAAACTCCAGAAAAGGAAGTCTCGAGAACCTGGAAAAGGTAAGGAAATGGACTCTCCTCTAGAGCCTCCAGGAAGGGATGCAGCTGTGCCAAAGTGCTGAGTGAGCCTGGTGAGATCCATGTTGGATGTCTGTACTACAGAATTATAAGATAATAACTTAGCATTGTTTAAGCTACTCAGTGGTAATTTTTTCAGTATGTTAACTTTTACTTAAACCCTTGTTTTCAATAGGATGTGCTCATCCTTAAGAGGAACATGTTCCTTAAGAGGAACCCAAGACCTTTTTTGTGACCCTCCCCAGATAATAAACATTCAATAACCTACAGTGGTGGGGAGGAGCCATCACCTCGCTGTGTGGATCATGGGAGGGGATCTGAGGGCCTGGGTGGTTCTTAAACACACTTTCAATAAATCTCCCAGTTTTTCAGCCTCACTTTCATCCACATTTCAAGAGGTACTTGGTGCCGCAGATTCCCAAATATTTCATGTGTTCTGTGGTATAAATGGAGTTACTTTCTTTGTTTTCCCTTGAAGTCTTAGTATTTAGCTTTCTTGGGGTGCTAAGGTGGTTACCACTAGCCCATTTATTTTGCATTTATTACCTTTGTCATCTTCCATGTTATTTCTCCTTGTAGGGCAATGCCTTTCCCTCCTCCTTGGTGTGTTTTTTTTGTTTGTTTATTGTTTGTTTTGCAAGAAATTCCTTTACTATTACTTTTGTATTGGGAGTGAAAAAAGACTAATGCGTATGTTCAACTGGACAATATTGATCAGAAAGAAGTCTTACCTCTTCTTTCTCAGTGAAATAATAAAAGGACATCAGCTAAGAGTGTGCAGACAAGAAGGAAAGCAAATTCTACCTTTTAAGTTTGTCCAGAGAAAGACATTTAAGCCATCCCATGGTCCCTGCTTCCACTATTGACTAACACCACAGGAGAAATTAAAGTTCGTAGATAACTGTATATCATGCCTCCCTACATTAGAAGGCATTACTTACTTCTTTCAACCACTCTCGGTTAACCTCCTTTATGTAATGTATAGTTTTTCATTATTTAGCACCTCATAAAGCTAGTTTTATTTTGTACCTGGTGATAGACTGCGTTGCAATATTTTTAATGTTTTTGAATTTTTTAAAATTTATTGTATGTATAAAAGGAACTCCTAATGTATAGGATAATTCATTCCAGTGTAGCATGATTTGGGGAGCATGAAAAGGTCTCCAGCCTCCCCTCTTAAAATGCTTATTTCTTGGCTGTGGTATTGTGCGTGAAATTACCAGATCTGCAAATGGCACCATTTAGCTCATCATCATTGTCATTGTCACCTTTGCTTTGATCCTTATCACTAGAAGAAAAGATTTATAACAAGAGAGATCTTTGTCTTTTTTTTCAGTTTTGTGCGCTAGCAGCCAAGCCAGGGCCTGGTGCATAGTAAGCCTCAAAAATATTTACTAAATGAATCATTATTAACAATGTACCCCAACACCTGTCAAAAGAGGCTTGCATGTAGTAACTCTTTATTAAACATTTTTGAGAAAACAATTTTAAAATAAACTTCTAATTGAAATATAATATAAATGCAGAGAAATGCCCACATCATAGGAATGCAGCTTGATGAATTTTCACAATGTGAACACACCCAGCAGCCCAGAGGCCAAGAAACAAAATTTTACCAGGACTACCTAAGCCCCAATCAATCAGTAACCATTCCCCAAGGGTAACAACTATTCTGACTTCTGACGCTATAGATGAGAATTGCTTATTTCTTAACTTTATAGGACTGGAAACATACAGTAGATACTCTTTTGTGTCTAGCTTCTTTTGTTCAACATTATATTGTGAGCTTCACTCATGTGCTTTCATGTCACAATAGTTCACGGGTTCCCACCATTTTTTTTATAGCATTTAATTTGATGAATTTACCACAATATATTTATCTGTTGTACTGTTGTTAAATATTTTGACTATTTCTAGGTTGGTTGATTATGAATAGTGCTATTATGAACATTTTCAGTCAGGGTTTTTTGGTGCACATTTGAACACATTTCTTTTGCATATGTAAATAGAAGTCGAATTGTTGGGTTACGTGGTACATACCTGTTTAGTTTTAGTAGATACTGCCAACTAGCTTTCCAAAGAGTTTATGCTCCAACCAGTGGAGTAAGAAGAGTTACAATGGCTCCACATTCTTGCCAACCCTTGATATTTTCCACGTTTTTTATTTAAGCCATTCTGGTGGAGATAGAGTGGTATATAACACTTTGGTTTTAATTTGATTGAATCAATAGCATGATTATTTATCTCATCTTCACCATCACTTATCTCAAAGCCTGACACACAGTAGACCAAGCAACTATAATGTATGCATCTATACCACGTGTTCAGTTGCTGCATGAAAAAGCTTGCTCATTGCCCTTTGGTTTTTGATAAGAAAATTCCTTACCAAAATGCAGAAAATACCTGAAAGAAAAACATGTTCAATTATTTTTCACATCACTTTGCCATGACCTTCATCGTGTTGCACAAGATTAGGGAAGTTTAGATGATATGAGATAGAAGTCTAGGGAAGGTCTCAAGAGTCACAGGAACTGTGGAGCCTCTAGCTATCACAAAGCGATGGATTCATTCAGAGAAGGAGAGCCTTCAAGATTTATTACAATAAAAAGAAAATTCACTTTATGCTGGACCTGAGTAAAAGTACTGTAGGTCTCTTTAGATAGAAAGTTCCTCAAGGATGACAGTTGTCTCCCATTGTTCTCTCCGGCTTTGTCTTCCCATTGTTCTCTGCTAAATAAAGGGTTCTGCGCTGAGTTATCACTCCATAAAGGCTGACTGGGTGAAGAGGGAACTTCTTTTCCCCTGGTTTCTCTGTTGGGCTTATTTTATGTTTAACTGTCTTTGAGGGGTAAGTAACTATAATACATCATAACTATTTTAAATTGACTCTCCACCGTCTGAAGTAATCGAGCTGTCTTATGATCTTGCCTTATAGATGTGTGAAAGCTGCTGAGAGTGAAGGTGGAGTAGTGGATAACAGCCTCTGCAACCAGGATGAAATTCCTCGAGAAACCCAATCCTGCTCTCTTCTGTGTCCCAATGAATGTGTCATGTCCCAGTGGGGACCTTGGAGCAGATGCCCACAGGTAATTTCTCTTCCCTTGTCAATGCCCTAGTCTCCAGTGCTGCCTTCACTGTTGTTCTGTGTATATTCACAATGCCACTCTCCAAAGCATTCTTCTAGTAACATGGGAAAATACTTTTGCCTAAGAAAGCAAAAGAAAAAGAATTTCAGCTGGTAAGACTGAGCAATTTAAAATGCCAGTGCTTCTCTTAAAGCCTTTATCATGGGAACATGAACAAGGAAAATGAGCCTATAATGATCACACTGGGATTCAAATGCACGCCCGTTGTTAAAGGGGTCTTCTTTAGTACCAAAATGGTTCTCATTATAATCTCTTGGTTCTGTTCCATTTTTATCCTGGCAGAATCAATTATATCTTAGTGGCTCAACTCCACTGCGTAATTTAGCTTCTGCTAGTGATGATCTATTTTTGCCTTTCTCTGTTTTCCCAAAGATGAGGTGTTCTTTTATCATGTTCTTCATACAAAGCTGATAAAAAAAAAAAAGAAAAAAAAATTTTGAAGTCTAAATAAAGTATTTGTCTTGATTTTTCTTCTTTTTTAAAAATGGAAACATAACAGGAGTATGGTAAAATATTCTTCAAGTAATGTGGTTTAATATTCTCAGATGTTAAATTCTGATATTTTAGACATGTATTTCTGCCTAAAGAGCTAATACAGCAAATGAGGGTAAGGAACATGTTAAATGGCTCTGAACATTAGGAAAGGAAGAATTAGGGTACTTTGAATTCAAGGATGATACTGACAATTTGTAGAAAGATTATGTAAAATCTTTGTATGGAAATGGACAATATTTTTGAAGTCAGCTAATAGCCTACATTTGCAGTTTTTAATTATTGATTCCTTAACTATTGCAAACTTACCTTTGACATTTATATAATTGTGTTCTTGAAAGAGATTTATCTTTGTTATTCTTTTTTATTTGTTGAGCTGTTCTTTGTGAGTAGGACAAAACAATATTAAGATGAAGAGGCCTCAATAAGGGGGAATTTGTAGGAATGGAATGTTTGCCCTTAGTCATTTATTTAGTGTGTAGCTTGAATATAATGAAAGTTAACATTTATTGAGCACTTACTGTATGCAAGGCACATGTAAAAATTATTCCCTTTATTCCTTGCACCAATCCTACTAAGTACATCCTATTATCAGTCCCATAGTACAAATGCAGAAACTGATTCTCAAAAAAGCTAAGTAGCTTGCACAAAGTTCCGCACGGAGTAAGTGATGGAGCTAGGAATGAACCTTGTTCTGTCTCATGAAGCCAGAACCTTTGCTCTTACATCCATGGCTCACTTATCTTTGAAGAATTAAGGTAGATTTAGGCTTAATACTTCTCTTTCTTTAAGATGCAACATTTATTTTAAGAATAAAGCAAGTTATTTTACCTGTCTGTATGATTATTTCATGACTGACTACATATATTCACACTTTAGAAATTGTGGTAGCATACACTGTTTATTAATCAACTTGCAGAAGAATTAGCAACCTGAAGTTTAATTAAATGTAGAGGTCGTGATCTTCCTCACTTCTTTTTTTCTAATTTGCTCACAGAAGGCTCCGTTAAGCTGTAATCACTTTGTAATGAAAACGTTGCCCTCTTAAGTCAAGATATCTGGCCACTGAACTAAAACGTTTGTTGTAGGAGCATTTTATACAATGTTGTGATGGCCTGGCATCCTGTGTTTTTTTCTTCTGGTTTCTAAAGGCTATTTCCTTTAAAGTTTGCTTTTTTGAACATAATCACTCTATTTTTGGAGTGTTTAGAAATTGGAGAGAGAAAAAAATGTTTCAACCTCCTTTCATGTGTCTAGAAGATGACATAGACAGTTACTCGCTTGTCGGCATGAGGTGACAGTGTTGTTCCTTCAACTGCTTGTGTACCTTCACGTTACATAATAATAATAATAGCTATGACAATAACAATAGTAACTTTCATTGAGCACATCTTATGTAACCAACACCGTGCTGGCGTTTTATAACTATGATGTTAGACTCTTATCCACAGTAACTCAGGTCTGTTTGACCACAATAGCCTTGTTCTTTCTAGGATGGCACCGCTGCTCTACAATATAAATAAAGACTTTAAAATGGGGAAAAAATGGTAATCAGGGTGCACATCTGATTATCTTCCCTATTTCTAGGTATTTTGCATAATTTTAATAAATTGCAACATCTTATCATAGTGCACCAACATCATAGGTGCCTAAGCAGTACTTGACAATGATCATAATCATGATTATAGCAAAGTTAGAAGCTGGATCTTTGTGCCTGAAGTTTAATTAGCACTTTAATGTGCATTTTCTGAGAAAAAGAAAACAATTATTGTATAATTGTTCTCTATACCATGTGCTGATTTGCAGATTCTAAGTATTGGCCCTTATTTTACCAAATTCTCCTTAGATAGTCTGCAGTGTGACACATCTTAATGAAACCAATTCACTATGGGTTTTTTTCTTCTTCTTTTTCTTCCCAGGATGGTTCTTTAGAGCCAAACACATAAACAAACAAAAAATAAGCTCCCCAAAAAACCTCAGAATATTTCTGAGACAAAAATATGATTCTTTTATATATCTAAAAATACTCTGAAATTTATATTTTGATTTCTCTAAAAAAACTATGATTAATATGAAATAAGCTTAATATGTTTTTAAATGTGGCGAAGTAATTATATTTGCCAGTTAATTAAAAGAAACTTAGCAAAACCAATTAATCAGTTAAAAGTGTTTCTTGAATTCATAGTATGTGCCCTGCATTCTGAGGCCAAACGTGTGACTGAGCATCGCCGCCACTGAGGCACAGTCCTCAGTATCTTTATAAATAGATGCTGAGTGGGTGTAGCTAAGGATTCAATAGCTGACTAGCAGTGTTTATTAGTTCATACAATGGTCACTGATTATGTGGTAGGCACTATATAAAATGATTAAAAGTGCGCTTCCTCAGTTCTGGGTCAATGATTTTCACACTAGTACACGTAAGAATCCTCTAGAAAGTGTGTTAACTAACACACAGCTTCTCTGCCCTACCCCAGAGATTCCACTTCAGTATGCCTGGGGTGGGGGGTCCATGAATTTGCATTTCTGACAAGTTTCCAGGTGATGCTGATCCTGTTGTTCTGGGGAAGACTCTGAGTCATAAGGCTCTTGGGCATTACGTCCAAGTCACGTTCTTTCTCTTTCTCACTTTAATTGCAGTTATTTGTTGTTGAACATTGAATGAACACCTATCATTATGTGGAAACTTAGCTTATATTTACAGATGCTTTGCATGTGCTAGACAACGTGCTTAGCACTTTATATTTATTATCCTACTTAATCTGCACAATGAAATAGATACTATTTTTCCCCAAAGTATAGATGAGTGAACTGAGCCTCAGAGAGGTTAGTAACCTGTTGCTTTTAAAGAGCTAGTAAAAGGCACAGTGACTGTTTAAGCCCAGGTAGTCTATGTACTCCCAACCACTACAAAAGAAATAAAAGCCATACTTCCTGTCCTTGAGAATATTATAGCCTATAAAATCTGTTGTCTCCTTTTCTGGTTTACTTTGGTTATTGGATTTGTGAAGGAAGATGTCTCTAAATTGAATAATCTACCTCATTTGAATAGTTTACCAAGGAAGGAAAGGAAAGGAGTCATCTAACGCCCTGGGATCCTTGCTGGCTCTGTGATTGTGGCCAAATTACTCAGCCCTCTGAGTTACAGGTACCTTAACAGGAAAATAAAGACAATAAGAGCTTTTTGTTCAGATTGTTTAAGGATTAGAGATAATATGTTTAAAGTGAATAGCGCAGAATATAACTTAATAGGGTTTTTAAAAAAAGAAGAAGCAGCAGCAGATCAAAACTCCCTTTTACATTGTTTACAGTGTGGTCAAGAAGCAGAAGACAGGTAGCCATACATTTTCTAAGCCATACAGGAAATATTGCTTCCCCCACATGAAATGAATTATTGCTTGATCTTACAGAAATAAAATGTCACCTCCTTTGCTGAAAAATGACATGCCAAATTTAATAGTAGTCCCCAAAAATAAGGCATCAGAAAGATAATTATGAATGACTGGGTTGCTGACCTTATAGCAACTGCCAATTGCAAAGCGTCCCAAAGAGCAAACAAAACAAAGGCATTAAAAATTGTATTGTGACCATTTTAACTGTTTTGAGAAGGACTGGAGACTGTAAATGGATCAAGCAAAAACAAACAATTCAAGGTGGAATTTGAAGAAAATGGAAAATCATGTTTCAGTTATTTTCATTTTCTTGTTCTCATAATATATATATATATATCATTTATTTTTTGACTCTAATATGCTCACTTCTCTAGAATATTTTAATGTGAAAGGAAGCTTATGGATTTTACATATGAAAACAAGATATGCAATAGTGTTCACTCCTTAAAGGAATGTGTATGTGTGTGTATATTTACATACACACGTATGTACAAATATATATGTATATATTTAATAGTTCCTTGCTTATTACCCAATATGCCTCTTTTATCTACCTAATTTTTTCCAATTTTTATCCTTATCCTTCATACTTCAAAATTATACTGATGAGTATTCACAGAATCATATATTCTTTAAGAGCTGTTTATAAATTTCTGAATGCAGAAATTGCTCAGCCCCTGACATACCTGAAAGAATATATGGTTCTCTTCATTTATGCTACCAATACCCAAAGAAAATTTCCACTAAGTAATACAGATTTTCCATTTATGACTCTCCTTGGAGGCTCAACAAAGGAATTTCTTAGACAATAATCTTGATAGGAGAAAGCAAAGAGGGTCTTGGAGCTGAATTTCCAAACCAATGTGTACTTTACGGAAGCACACCTTTGGAAACCCTCTCCAGAATGATGACTTAAGTTTAGCAAACCTGCCTGAACTTTGATTGATTCACTTCCAGCTGAATGCATGACAGTCTGGCTAGAACTGGAGCCAGGCATCCCCTTCCTCTGTGGGAACTGGGGACTCATTCAACAGCGGCCCAAATGCAACTTCATGATCG